CCCTTCGATGGCATGTGGCTCGTGAGTGGCGCTGTGCAGCTGCTGGCCCTGGCTCCTGCCCTGCACTGTGCTGGCCCCGGGGCCATCCTGCCCTTCCCTCCCCTCCCAGGACATGAACGAGCCGTCCAACTTCGTGGAGGGCTCCCAGGATGGCTGCCCCAACAACAACCTGGAGCACCCCCCTTACGTGCCAGGTACAGGGGCGGGTCCCAGCCCTGCCCAGGGCTCGAGGGAGCTGGAGGAGCCCGGGGATGCTCTGAGCTCCACCTGTGCCCCGCAGGCGTGTTCGGGGGCCGCCTGCAGGCCGGCACCATCTGTGCCTCCAGCCAGCAGTACCTGTCCTCTCACTACAACCTGCACAGCCTGTACGGGCTGAGCGAGGCCATGGCCTCCCACAGGTGAGCCTGGGGCTCCTGCCAGGGCTCCTGCACGTGCTGGGGTGCAGAGCTGGGAGAGACCCAGCGTGGGTGGTGGGTGGGGGCTTGGTGTGGACACAGGGCACTGTGGGAGCCCTGAGCCCCTTCCCCAGCTGGGGGGTGCTGAGCAGACCCCTCCCCCTGGCAGTGCTCTGCTGAGGGTGCGGGGCAAGCGGCCCTTCATCATCTCACGCTCCACCTTCGCCGGGCACGGCCGCTACGCCGGGCACTGGACAGGCGATGTGGGCAGCGACTGGCAGCAGCTCTACTACTCCATACCAGGTATGTATGGATACCTGTGGGCACTGGGGCTCACCCACAGCCAGGGGCATCTCCACAGGCTCCATGCGTGGGTGCTGCAGAGCCCTGGTGCCCTCTGTGCCCTCTGCAGAGGTGCTGCTCTTCAACCTCTTCGGGGTGCCTCTGGTGGGTGCTGACATCTGCGGCTTCCTGGGTGACACCAACGAGGAGCTGTGCGTGCGCTGGACCCAGCTGGGAGCCTTCTACCCCTTCATGAGGAACCACAACGACCACGGCAACCGGGTGAGCCCTGGCAGCCCTGACCCACCGGGCAGGGGGTTCTGGGCCCAGCCAGGGCTGCCCTGCCAGCGTGGGAAGGTTCAGCTGCAGTGTGTGCCAGTGCTGGCAGAGTCCATCCTGCATCCCTGAAATGTGCCCTCCGTTGGTTCCTCCCCTCGTGGGCTGAGCATCCCCTGTGCCATTCCCTTCCCTTGGGCTGAGCATCCCCTGGGGCCGTTCCTCTCCCTATGAACTGAGCATCCCCTGGGGCCATTCCCTCCCCGCAGCCGCAGGAGCCCTTTGTCTTCAGCCCGCCGGCCCAGGCTGCCATGAGGAACGCCCTGCGCCTCCGGTACTCGCTGCTGCCCTTCCTCTACACGCTGTTCCACCGGGCCCACAGCGCCGGGGAGACCGTGGCACGGCCCCTGTTCCTCGAGTGAGTGCCAGCCCCGTGGGGCTCACAGGGGTGCCTGCAGGGTGTCCTGGCACTGCCCTCCCTCCCCTCCTTCCCCAGGTTCCCCACAGACCCCAACACCTGGGCCGTGGACCGCCAGCTCCTGTGGGGCGGGGGGCTGCTCGTCACCCCCGTGCTGGAGGCAGGACAGACCAAAGTCAGCGGCTACTTCCCAGCAGGGACGTGGTACAGCCTCACAGGGGTGGGTGCTCCTGCTTTGCCGTGGCATCCCGTGCTCATTCCTGCATCCCACCCGCCCCCGGGGGCTGTGTGTGGGTCTCGTGCCCCCCCTGCCTTTGCTGGTGGCCGTTTGAGGGCTCTGGCACTGGGGCACCTTGTGCCTGCTCTTGCCTCTCTTTGTCCCCGTGCAGGACTCCACCATCCACAGCAAAGGGCAGTGGATCATCCTGCCAGCACCCCTGGACACCATCAACGTCCACGTCCGTGCAGGGCACATCCTGCCCCTGCAGGTGAGCCCCCTCTGCTCCGTGGTGAGGGTGGCAGTGCCCACAGCAGTGCCAGGACAATGCCAGCGGCTGCAGGGCTGGGGGCACGGCTGTGGCAGTGCCCTGAGCTGTGCCTGAGCCATGCCCTGAGCTGTCCCTGCCCTGTGCCCCAGGAGCTGGGGGGCATGGCTGTGGCAGTGCCCTGAGCTGTGTCTGCCTGCCCTGTGCCCCAGGAACCTGCCTTCAGCACTGCCCAGTCCCGAGGGAAGGGCATGGCCCTGGTGGTGGCGCTGACCCCGGACGGCTTCGCCAGGGGAGAGCTGTTCTGGGACGATGGGGACAGCTGGGAGACCTTTGAGAGGGGCGACTACACCGAGCTGCTCTTCCTGGCCTCCAACGTGAGCACGGGGAGCTGCTGGCAGGGGCTGGGCAGGGCTCCTGTGGCCCTGGCACACCTGGGTCTGCTCTGTGGCTGGCAGGTGGGGAAGGGCACGTGGAGGAGCCCTGAGAGCACGAGGGGTGGCTGAGAGCACAGGGTGCCATCCCCTGTGCCCTGGGTGCAGGTGGGGTGTCTGAGAGCACAGGGTGCCATCTCCATGTGCCCTGTGTGCACGAGGGATGGCTGAGGGCTGGCAGCACACGGTGCCATCCCCCTGTGCCCAGGACGCCGTGCTCAGCCAGCTGCTGCGGGCCAGTGCCCACCTGGACGGGGTCCTGCTGGAGGCTGTCACCGTGCTGGGGGTCACCAGCCCTCCCCGGCAAGTCCTGGCCAACGGTGCCATCGTCAGGGACTTCTCCTACCGCAGTGACACCCAGGTGAGTGCTGGCTGCCAGCCTGGGCAGGGCTGGTGGCCAGGAGGGGACCTGGAGTGCAGCTGTGGGGTCTGGTCCCAGCAATGGCACAGCCCAGGCCATGGGTGCCCTTCCTGCAGCATCTGTGGGGCCAGGACTGTGCCAGGCTGTGGCTCTGCGAGGGGCAGGACCCCTCTGGGCTCTGACACCCCTGGCTGCTCTCACCTTCCCTCTCCCCTCAGGTGCTATGGGTCCCTGTGTCGCTGCCCATGTGGGAGCAGTTTGTGATCTCCTGGTCCTGACCAGCGTGGGTCACAGGGAGAGGCATGGCTGCTCCCCTGGAATCCAAGGCCAAATCTGTCCCATCCCCTGTACCCTGAGCTGCCCCTGCTCTTCCCACACTCCCGGCCTTGTTCTCCCTCTGGCTGATGGAGGGGCGTGCACAGGACTGGCAGAGGGAGAGGGGCCTTTCCCAGGGATCCCATCATCAAATCAGGGGAAAAAGACCCAAGTGCCTTGTGAGACAGCCAACCAGTTCCTCTGGGGGACTGGTAACTGGGGCACAGACTGCAGGGAGTTCCCTGGCTGTGGTTTTGGGGAGGATGTGCAGGGGCTGAGGGAGCAGTACTGTGAATAAAGCTGCTGTTTGCTGGGAGCAGCCCCAAGCTGTGTCCTTGTCCCCTCTCTGGTCCTGAATGTGCTCAGCCCCATCCCCAGCTGGGACACCCCAGCTCTGTCCCTGCCTGGAGGTCTCCAGTGGGACCCCCTGTGCCCCCTGAGGGCTTTCCCCATTCCCCAGAGCACTGGGGGTCTCCAGCTGTTCCTGCAGCCCTGGTTGTGCCACAGAGACCTCGGCTGTCCTGCTGCAGGGTGTGCTCAGCTCCAGGTGAAAACAGATCCTTATCCTCCAGAGGCTTTATTGAGGGGCAGCTGGGCCCTTTGGCTCCTCCAGCTGAGAGCCAGGGCACCAGGAACCCTCAGTGCTCTGGGGCCAGGCGGTGTTGGCAGCAGAGGGCAGAGCTTAGTGGTGTCACCTGGGATTTGGGACCAGCCCATTGTGCCCCATGGGAACACAGCATTGTCAGGTTACAGGTGGGGTCTGTGCCCCATGGGAACACAGCACTGTGGGGCACAGGTGGGGTCTGAGCGCCATGGGAGCACAGCACTGTGGGGGCACAGATAGGGTCTGAGCCCCACGGGAGCACTGTCAGGACACAGGTGGGGTCTCTGCCCCACAGCCCTGTCCAAGCACAGGTGCCCCTCACAGCTCGTTGTGCAGAGGCTGGCACTGGGGGCTCAGTTTCTCCTCCAGCACAGCATCGGGGGCGCACACCCAGGGGTCCCCG